AGAATCTATTAAAATTGAACTCACAGAAGTAGGGAGTAAAACAATGGTTATCAGAGACTGGGGATTGGATTGGGGAGAGAAGAAACAGGGTGTTAGTAATCAAATAGTGCAGCATTTCAGATCAACAAGAGAAATAGGTTTTGAGATCTATTGCACAGCAGAATAACTACAGTCAAAAATAATGTATTATCAGGGCCAGTAGGTGGTGGTTAAAGGCACCGGACTCCCACATGGCTGACCGCAGTTCGAGGCTCTAATCTAACGGCTTGCTTTCTCACTTCTTTCTCTCTCCCTCTGTTTTTCAGTCTGTCCCTCTCTAGTCAAGTTAAAAATTATAAATAAATAAAGTTAAATAAAAATAATGATTTAAAATAATAATAATGTATTATGTATTTCAATTAATAAGAAAGTAAAGTTCAAATGTCTCACTACATTAATAACAAGTTAGAAAAGTAAAAAAGAAAGGAGTTTACATTAAAAATTAGAGCTAATACAAATGTTGAAAGAACTCAGGGAATAAATATGAGGAATGTATCTAATATAGGGCTCGAAAATTTATAGACTAAATTTAAGTGGAACATGCAATAAAAAACTGAGCCCAAAACACTGACACAAGCTTCCCATGAAATTCTACACTAACATGAATCTTTGAGAAAGCTCCTTTCCACTCAAAAAGTTTCAGATTTTGGAGCATTTCAAATTTTTAGTATAGGAATGCTCAACTTATATAAGAGTTCTATTTTCTCTGCATTGTGTCCAATATGCTATTTTCATATTTTAGATAAAAATGTATGTTAACAAGTGTGAACTGATGTAGCATTGTGGTATTAATTTAAATTCCCCTAATTTTTGCCTCTTTGTGTATCTTCTTTTGAAAAATGTCTTTTCAGGTCTTTGACTATTTTATAATTGGGTTGTTTCTTCTCTCATTATCAAGTTGTTTGAGTTTCTTAATATTTTACATATTAACCCCTTACCAGGTGTGTAGTTTATAAATATTTCCTCTCATTCTGTGTGTTTTTTCTTTGCTTTGTTAATTATTACAAAGGTAATATTAACAAATCTTTAGTTTGATACAATTATATTAGTCTATTTTTGTTTCTGTTGATTGTGCTTTCTGTCATAGCCAAAAAATCTTGTCCAGCTCATTTCATAGAGTTTTTCTCCGACATTCTCTTCTAGTGGCTTTATATTTCAGGTCTTCTCTGTAAGTCCTAAATCTGTTTTCAGTTGATTATTGTATATGGTGTTAGAGAAGATCTAATCAATGTATTTGTTTTTGTTCTGTTCTATGATATTTTGATTCCAGACACTTTGTGAAATTTTTAAAATAAGCAGGTGTAATGTTTCTAGCATTGTTACTTGTGTTCGAGATTGCATTAGCTATTGTGGGTCTTTGTGGTTCTATATTAATTTAAAGGCTCCTCCCCAACCACTTCCCATTTTGGAGGAAAGTGGCATTGGAATATTGTAGTGAATCTGTAGATCACTTTGGGCGGTGTGGACATTTTTACAATCCATAGATATGAAATAGCTTCCATTTATGTATGCATTCTTTGGTTTCTTTCATCAGTGTTTTATAGTTTTCACTGTACAGTTATTTTACCTCCTTGGTTAAATTTACACCTTATCATTTAATTTTTCTTGTTGTTATTGATACTGCAATGAAGTTGTTATCATAATTTTCTTTTTGGATAATTTGTTATTAGTATACATAAATATTATTAATTTTTGTGTGTTGGTAGTGTATGTTGAAATTTAATGAATTCACTTATTACTTCTTACAGTTTTTCTGTCAAATCCAACTGCACTAACTTCACCAGTACTGCTAATTCCTAGAACAGGTTTTATCCAAAGTCTCAGGTGGAATATAAAGTCCCTAGTGATGATCTATTTAAAAGGGATAAGATTTTCAAATACATGTATTTGAAATGGATAGCCAGAAACTGGGTGGTGCGGATTATAATTCAAGCATTCTCTGATAGTGACAGGGCTCAACTTCCAAATGTAAAACATTTTAATCAGATCCTTTCTTACATTTGCCCACAGTGAAGCGTTTCTCTCAGTTCTGGTGAAGTCAGTTTTGAACATGTACAACACACACACACGAAGAAAAAAAAAAAAGCAGTAAGTGGGGAGACGAAAGATATGTTTATTTCCCAGATTCAGTTATTCCAAACTATATACATCCTTTGAAAAACGGCACTGTACTGCTCAAAGATGTACGACTATACGTCTTAATCTAAAATTACAATAAAACTATTAAAAATCCAATTAGAAAAGGCCAGATTTATTCTCATGATCCAATGAAGAACTGAATTCTTACAAGGAGACCTTGTTGCTCTTTCAATACCTTGGATGTACATGAAGTTATTCAAAAATCCAGCCACTTTAAGAACCATTATACAAATTGTGACTTTTCTGCACTTGGGGGTGGGCAGACTTGGGAGCACATTTATGAGTGTGTCAGAATCCCTTGCTTAAAATAGTATCTTAAATTATTTTCTAGGCTTTTTATATTGTTATTATTCAGTCTATCATTGTAATCTGTCTTGAACTATTTTCTCCAAAATAAGTCTTTAGAAGAAATTTTTTAAAAAAAAGATTTCTAAAATATATGGTAGTCATTTGAGCTTATAACAAGTGGAAAATAAAAAAATTATCTTTTTTTAAAACAAAAATCAACTGTTAAGTGAAACTTTATTAGTGAAGCGTTTCTCTCAGTTCTGGTGAAGTCAGTTTTGAACATATACAACACACACACATGAAAAAAAAAAACAAAAACGGTAAGTGTGGAGACGAAAGATATGTTTATTTCCCAGATTCAGTTATTACAAACTATATACATCCTTTGAAAAACGGCACTGTACTGCTCAAAGATGTACGACTATACGTCTTAATCTAAAATTACAATAAAACTATTAAAAATCCAATTAGAAAAGGCCAGATTTATTCTCATGATCCAATGAAGAACTGAATTCTTACAAGGAGACCTTGTTGCTCTTTCAATACCTTGGATGTACATGAAGTTATTCAAAAATCCAGCCACTTTAAGAACCATTATACAAATTGTGACTTTTCTGCACTTGGGGGTGGGCAGACTTGGGAGCACATTTATGAGTGTGTCAGAATCCCTTGCTTAAAATAGTATCTTAAATTATTTTCTAGGCTTTTTATATTGTTATTATTCAGTCTATCATTGTAATCTGTCTTGAACTATTTTCTCCAAAATAAGTCTTTAGAAGAAATTTTTTAAAAAAAAGATTTCTAAAATATATGGTAGTCATTTGAGCTTATAACAAGTGGAAAATAAAAAAATTATCTTTTTTTAAAACAAAAATCAACTGTTAAGTGAAACTTTATTGAAAATAGATTGATGGTTCTGTTTAATTCTTATTTATGTTCTTTTTAATTGCCACCAGGTATGTGTGTTTGACCGAAAGAGAAAGAGAGAGGGAGAGGGAAGAAGCAACTCCTGGTCTCCCCACGGCGGGGGAAGGTCACACCACAATCCTTTCTCCACCCTTTTGGGATACGAGGGACACACCGAACATACACATGCCCAGAGTGTTTTTCATGCCACTTGGACTGTGATTTGAACCTTGTGGTCAACCATGTGGCATCTGACTGCCTTACCCACTAAGTTCAGAGGCTGGCCCTAACTATTCTTTTAAAGAAAGATATACTGCGTTTAAGTATTTATGAATTTTTTAGAAGTTACAGTGAACTTGGAATTGGGACACTGAAGCAAGACTATTATCGAAAGACTAATTTGTTAAACATTACATCAAAATTGAATAATAAACTAAAGGATGTATTTTCGTCTTAGTTTGATTTTGCATAATTTCAAAATTACATAAGCAATGCTAAGACTTTACATAGGATTGTCTGTATACCATTCACTTATTTCCCCAAATGCTAACGTTTTACATTTTTCTTCTTGAACTGTTTGACAATAAGTGGAAGAGGAGATAGATGCCTCCTTAACTTTAGCATACTTAAGTACACTTTTACTAAAAACTGGGATGTTCTTAGAAGGCTACAGTGATGGTATAAAAAGAAAATTAGCAAATTAATGCTGTGTTAATAACTAATCTGTAGGGACCAGCAGATGATGTAATGGTCACTGGACTCCCATGTAGTTAACTGCGGTTCAAGTCTCAGACGCAGTGGCTTAAACAACTCACGCTGGGCACAGGTGCATGTGTGCCGAAAGGCCTATGACGAGAATAGAGAAGAAGCGATTGGGGCACGGCCATCCCCACTTGGGGGTGATTTCTCACTTTCTATCTGTGTCACTTTTTGTCTCTCTGGCAAGTGCACGTGCCCTAAAGCAAAAAACCTCTCTAAAACAAAAAATGAATAAAAATAACTAATCTGCTGGCTTTATTCTGTTCTGAAGGCCTTATTAGTCTCATTTGTTAAAATTCTGGTTGACCTTTAATATTTTTAGATCATGTTTTCCACCAGTGTTAATGCTATGGTCTCTATCAGGTCATCAACATCAACAATTATTTTCAGGTTCAGTGACAGGTCTTCTGTGTGTAAGCGTATGTTTGTATGTGTTGTGTGTATGTGTGTATTTTATAGACAATGTTAATAACTCACAACTGGCTTAGTGATATTAACAATATATAACTTTTGCCAAATTAAGATTGGCTAACTGGAGCATTCAAGTCAACATTTCTTACTGAGAAAGAAAAGATTGATTTTGTCTATGAAACAGTATTGAATATACTATTTGCAGTTGAATACATATAGTTCTCACTTTTCACAATACCATGAAAATAGATCATTGTCATGATTATTAAAACTAAAGTCTGAAAAAGAATCAATGCACATTCTGTGTTAATGGTAATTTTAATATTATAACATTAAGCAGCACCTTATTAATGGTAGTCTAAAGCAAAACAACAACAAATTAAAAAACAAATAAAAAATACCACCTGAAGTTGTATTTTTTTGTATGTTTCTCTTTTATCTTCCAATTCAGAAGACTTTCAATTAGACCACAGGTTATTTATTTTAGAGCAAACCTTGTCCATAATTCTCTTCAAAGCATTTTTGACTTCTTGGTTCCTCAGGCTATATATTAAAGGATTCAACATGGGAATTACTACAATATAGAAAACAGAAGCTATTTTGCCCTTTTTCAGAGAATCATTTGTTTTTGGCTGCATATACATGAAGATAATTGTACCATAAAATATTGTGATAGAAACCAGGTGGGATGCACAAGTATAGAAAGACTTCCGTCTGCCTTCAACTGAATTAATCCTCAGAATGGCAATCAGAATTAAAAAGTAGGAGATGAGAACAATAAGGAGAGAGAAAAAAGTATTAAAACCAGCAAATGTGAACAACATCAGTACTTTTATATCTTTGTAATGGGTTTTATGACAGGCCAGGCCCACCAAAGGAACATCGTCACAATAGAAATGATTTATTATATTCGAATCACAGAAAGACAAGTGGAATGTAAGAATTGTCTGAAGGAGTCCCACAGAGAAGCCGTACAAATATGTACTAACCACCATCTGAACACAGACCCTCCTGTTCATGACACTGGTATAGAGTAAAGGGTTGCAGATGGCCACATACCGATCATATGCCATGGTAGAGAGTATATATACTTCACAAACCACAAACGTGACAAAGCTACACAACTGAGTGGCACAACCAGGTAAGGATATTCTTTTAATTTCTTGGAGGAAGTTCACCATGGTATTAGGGGTGACAGAGGAAGTATAGCAAAAATCAACAAAAGCGAGGTGACTGAGGAAAAAATACATAGGTGTTTGAAGCTGGGGACTAATATGAATTAGTATAACTAGCCCAAGGTTCCCCATGACACTGATAAAGTAAATCACTAGAAAGATCCCAAAGAGTAAGGCTTGCAGCTCTGGATTGTCCGTGAGTCCCAAGAGGATGAATTCAGTCACTTCTGAATTATTGTCTTTAGCCATGGACTAGGTGTAGAGGCGTATCATACCATTCTCTTTAGACAATTCATTCAACCTGATTTTCACTTCTTAAATTAAGGGTTTGACTCATGCTTATTTTACAGTGATCACACTGGAAAGATAAATCATACTGGTCCTATGAGTCAAGATCGTGTTTTAATTCTGTTTGCTTTTGATCCAAAGTGTTTGCTCCAGGCATAAATTTCAACATGTTAATAGCCCAGATGACTGTTAAAGAAGACAGAATGCCTTGAATTAAAATGTATAAACTTATAAAAACTTGGCATAATCAGAATAGCAGAAAAAATACTTCAATTATAAAAGAGATGCCAGGATATTCAGAGTAATATATTCAAAGGAAATACTCGATATTTCAACTCAACTCAGTATTAAAACAACTATGACTTTGGCTAAGCATTACTGTCAACATACTAGGCCATGCAACAAAGAAAGGGATAAAAATATTATTTTAAAAAGTTTGTTTATTTTACAGGTGTATGAGAGAAATAAAGAAAGAGATATAAAAGAGAGACAGACCGAGAGAGAGAGAAAAGGGACAGCATCTCCAACAGGATTTTGATGACACAATCTGCCTGTACACTTCAGCTATTGATGTCTGATGGGTAAGTGTGTGCCCAGTTGTCTCTGTACTTGAATCAGGAAATGTTCCAAACCAGATTTTGCATAATAAAAATAAACCAATATGAAAATATAATTTAATTGAAATTGTTGGGATTCCTTTTAAAATAATAAATAAAAAATTAAATCTACCTTTTTTTTTTTTTTTTTTTTTTTAGCTATAGGTCTTTCATTTTTTTCTTTCTTCTCCTTTTTTCCCCTAGTTTGTTGTAGGGTATGTGACTTGCCAAAGAAAGAGAGACAAAGAGAAAAAGAGAGTGAGAGAGGGAAAGTGAAAAAGCTTACCCCCCCCCCATACTAGGGAGGATGGCCATACCACAGTCCCTTCTCCTTCATTCTACTTTAGCAATGTTGGTCACTTACGCATACATGCCTGGTTTGTGTTTTAAGACACTGTGTCTGGAACTTGAACCACACAGTCAGCCATGTAGAATCCAGTTCTCTAGGCACCATACCACTGACTGGCCCCGAAACCTACTTTTAAGTTTTCTCTTAAGGCTAACAAAATGTTTATCTTGTATATTTATTTTATTATAATTAATTTAAGTTCATAGAGTCACATTATGTCATAATGGGATAACTAATAGAAAATTATCTTGGATTAAAGATTTGATAGAAAAAGACAAAATTGTATACAGATTAGTATGCAAGAAGATAATACATGATCAATAGCCCAAACTTAAATAGACTTGCAAGAATTA